TGCGTTCTTCAAGGCCTGGTCGGATATCCATCAGGGATTGCCACCGCCGAATCCACCGCCATCATTCGACTCCAGCATCCTCAGGGCCCGAGATCCCCCCAGCATCAAGATGCCCATCCGGGACTACGTCGCGGTGGCACCGTCCCTGGCCCAGGATCACACTGGAAAGTCCGGGGAGGATATCTCTCCCAAATACCACGTCCGGGAATTCCACATGAGCGAGCTCCAGCTCTCGCATCTCAGGCACGAGATCGCATCCGGCCCGTTCTCCTACGGCAGCTTCCCGACATCCTTCGAGGCCGCCGCGGCGCTCGTCTGGAAATCCATCACCGAGGCGCGGGATCTCGTCGACACCGCCATCGCCACATTCGTCTACTCGGGCTCCGCCAAGGCCGGCAAGAACCGGCGGCATCCCCCAATCCCGGACGAGTACTGCGGCACCTCCGCCATGACCCTCGTCCTCCCGTGTCCGGCGCGCGACCTCAAGAATAAGCACATCTCCTTGGCCGTTCGCCTCGTCCACGACGACATCCGGGCCATCACCCACGAGCGATTCCAATCCACCATTGACTGGATGGAGCTGGAAGGAATCGGCGGCCCCGGGCGCAAGGAGATCGCGGTCAACATGAGGGCCGAGATGGCGGTCTACTTCGTTGACCTGGTCACCTTCCCCGTCTACGGCGTTGACTTTGGGACCCACTTCTCGCTGGTGCTAGAGCCGTGGTATGGCAACGGGGTGGTGGTGTTTCTTCCCACTGCCCAGGGAGGGACGCGAGAGTGGTCATGCTCCTCGAGGATGAAATGAAGAGGTTGCTGCAAAGCGAGCTCCTCGCCAAGTTCGCCACCTTGGAATGAAAGGGATTTGAGGCACGAGAGACTAGAGCAAGTAAATTGGTTTCATCGATCGTTTCATCGATCGGAAGAGAGCAAAACAAAACGCGATCCGAGAGGGAGAGAGAAACGAAGAACGAGGGTCGATCCGTCCGTGACCATCGTCAAGGAGAGTCGGAGGATTTGGTGGCACGAGCGGTGCACATCCTGGCACAAGACAACTTTATGGTGCCTCGGCTCGGCGGGGAAGGCACCTCCTTTCCCTTGCCGAGCCCTGGCAGCGAGAGCTTGGGCTTGGATCGATGAGCATCGATGCCGGTGGGCGCTCCAGATCTTGGCACCGGTCTCGAAGCCTGATCAAAGAATTGGATCAAAGAATTGGATGGATCGAAGGGAAAAGAATCTCATTTTCGTTTCATACCTCGGATATGCGAGGGAACCTCCGTGCGAACCACGCCGCTGGAAACCACGCCCACGCGATCTGCGTCGCCGTCTCTCGGATCAGACCATAGACCAGCTCCGTGACCGGTCCCTCGATCGTCCCAGTGATCACCCTGCTGACCGGTCCCTCGATCATCCCCGTGAGCATCTTATCGAGCGGGCCCTCGATCAACCCCGTGAAGCTAAGTTTGATCACCAGCGGCGCTACCATCGAGATGAGCAGGGACTTGGCCATGAGCCCCAGCCCATCGCTCCGCCCGCAAGCTTCCTCCCCTCCAAGAAGAAAAACTAGGGCTGCGAAATGGCCAAGGGGGAGGGATTCATGATTGCGCTGGATGGTTCATGCTCCACGGTCCTTGTCAGAAGAAGAATTTCTTGCATAGCCAAATATCTTCTTTCTACGCGCTTGTAACGATCTTTATCAGTTCATATTGTCAAGTTTGGTCAACATAGTCGATGGAAGTCCTAGGTCGTGAGCTCACTTCGAGTGCTTAGATTGACATGGTGGCCTCCACAAGATTAGTGTCCATGTCGACTGTCGTGGCGATCTCCAACGGTAGCTAGGTAAAAGTCAAGTCATTCGTTTCTGTCGTTCGCAGCTATGGCATCTCAACAGTGGAAGATATCTTCAAAATCGCGTACTACGGCAGAGGACATGTCTGTAAGAATCCATTCCATAGAAGAAGATGAGAAGAAGCTCAGCTAACAGGGCTGCAAACCTCGAGGTCAATGCACATTTGCAAGCCGATTTAATGACCAAGAAATTCCAGCTTTTGCCAAGTGTATCGGCGGCTTATAAGAGAATATATATAAAAATTACTATCATTGTTACTGCTTCCAATTGTTTCACACATAATAATGTTGCTTCATGCTTGATTGAGCGCATAGATCAATCCCAGGACTTTCAAGCAATTACATGTTTATAGGCCTAGCTTCAAAGCTTTAAAACTTCGAGCTAGAATTCTTTCCCTTGCGGAGCTCCGGCAGCGGGATCTTGGGTTTGGATCGATGACCATCGTTGCGGGTGGGAGCGGGCTCTCCAGATCTTGGCACCTAAAGAATTAGATGGTTCGAAGGAAAAGAATCACATTTCCGTTTCATACCTTTGTGATGCGAGGAAACATCTGTGCGAACCACGCCGCTGTCAGCCACGCCCACAGGATCTGGGCCGCCGTCTCTCGGATCGGGCCATAGACCAGCTCCGTGACCGGTCTTTGTGATCATCCTGTTGATCGGCCCCTCGATCATCCCTGTGATCGTCCTGTCGACCGGCCCCTCGATCATCCTGGTGATCGGTCCCTCGAACTAAATTTGATCACCATCCCCGCCAGCATCGATACGAGCAGGGACTTCGCCAAGAACTTCGTCGCGTCCCCCCAGCCCATCGTTCCGCCCGCGCGTTTGCTCCCTTCCAAGAAGGAAAACTAGGGCCGTAACCGGCAATTTTGTGAAATTCATTTTGTGAAATTTTGTGATATTCATTTTCCTCAGAAATGGAAAGGAGAAAGATTGCTACCCGGTCGAGGGTTTTCTTGTTAAATATTAGAATTCGATCGCCACCTTTGAGTTCCCTCGACCAGTCCAGTGAACGTAAATCGCCAGTCGCCAGTGGAAGACAAGTCTCGAACGTGGTCAACTTTATTGGTCAACATAAGCGATTGGTTCTAAAGCACGAGGAGCTCGTGGGCAAGGTCGTGAGCTCCGAGTAGATTGGATCAACGACATGGTAGCGTCCATAAGCTCGGTAAGGTCAGTGTCCGTGTCGACTGTAGTTCCCCAGATCCCGACCCGGCAGCCCTGCGTTCTCGCGCTCTCCAACTTCCAGAGCTACTTTTCGTTTGAGCGCTACATCAAACAAGTGTTCTACTTCTCCGCCCCGGGATCTTCAGCTCTCAAGCAGCACGATGACCAGGAAGAAGAAGAAGAAGATCAAGAACAGAAGAGCCCTCGGATCGATAACCACGACGAAGAGGAGTTCCAGCGCCTGGTTTGCAGCATGAGAGAGTCTCTGTCGCGGTTGCTCGTTCCATACTACCCTCTGGCGGGGAGAATGCGGCGGCGAGAGCGGCTAACAACGATCCAGGAGCTCCACTGCAACGACGCGGGCGTCATGGTGGTGGCCGCGATGGCTAACACAGCCTTGGGCGACGCCCGGCAGTGCCCCATCGAGCACGAGCTCTACCCGGAACCCAGGGTCAGGGATCCCGCCAACGCGCCGCTGCTAAAAATCCAGGCAAGTAGCTCCGTTGACTCTGTTGACTAAAAGAGTGTTGACTGGCTGTAAGCGTTGACTGGCATTGTGTGTTCACAGGTGACAAAGTTCCAGTGTGCCGGGATTGCTGTGGGAGTGCTCACCTGCGAGAACATCCTCGACGCCTCCTCCTCCTTCCCGTTCCTCCGGGCGTGGGGGGAGATCCACCGGGGCCTCGCACTGGCGGTGGCTCCATCGTTTGATTCCAGCGTGCTCAAGCCCCGCGATCCTCCGCAGGTCAATCTCCCCGTCCGCGACTACGTCGTCGCCCCACCGCCAGCAAGCACGGTGGAAGCCATGGCCAAATCCTCCCACGACGCCATCCCCGACCGCCAGAGGCTCTTCCACATCGCCCCCGATCGAGTCCGCGAGCTCGTTGCCGAGGTCCAGCGCGGGAGATTCTTCTCCTCTCGTGACGAGCCGCCGCCGAGCTCGTTCGAGGCCATCTCCGCCATGATCTGGAAGTGCGTCGCGGACGTCAAAGACCTGGACGATTCGGAGAGCATGACTTACATCTACGCGCTCTCCACCAAAGGACCCAAGCGCTGGAGCCCCGAGATCCCGAGCCACTACTGCGGCAGCTCCGCTCACATCCCCTGCCTGGCTGCTCCCGTGGGCGAGATACGCAAGAACCACATCTCCCACGCCGCCAAGCTCCTCCGCGACGATATCCATTCCGCCACCCAGGAGCGCATCCAGTCCGCCATCGACTGGATGGAGCTCCACCTCCGGGCCGGGATCTTCGTGGACGACAACTTCCCGCTGCCAAGGTGGTCGGGGAGAGCGATCAACAGCAACAGCCTCACGGCATTCCCGATCTACGAGCTCGACTTTGGATGGGGGAGGCCGCGACACTTCTCCTTCGTCTTGGATGCCGAGCCGGGCAGTGGAGCCGCCATTCTTCTTCCCACTCGAGATGGCGGACGAGACCGGCATCTGGCGATTCGGCTGCCCGAGAACCAGATGAAGAAGTTACTCGAGCACCAGTTCTTCCTCAAGTTCGCCACCCCGGTGTAGCAAACAAGTTGTAGACAAAATTGCTCTCCATAGCACTATGTTCTCACCCCTTGTTCTTGTTGGGCATGGCAAAAGAACCAAATTGCACATTATCACCATTCTGCCCATGACATCGGCCATTGCTATGGGCATGAAGCCCGATCCCTTCTCATACTGTTATCCTATATGTACCAATAAGACACTGACACGTGTCCTCTTTTTCTACTACTACCCTTTTTCTTCTAGTGCACGCCATATTGTCTTGAAGTAACAAAAGTGACAAACCACCAGAGATCTGCAAAAGCCTATCGAACGCATCCGCCCACCAAATCTTTTGTTCTGTGAGTTGATGAAAAGAAGTTACGACCTTCTCCCTGCCATAGCATTAAAAGTTACACATGCATGCGAACTTTTAGACCAGACAAGTCCTCTTGTGTGTTTCTAGGCTACTCTCTTCAAATCATGCGCTAGAAGAACAATCATGTCCAATGTGGTTCATATAGCCTCCGTCTGCACGATCGTCCCAGCGATTCCAACGCGCCAGCCTTGTACTCTCTGGCTTTGCAACTTTCAGATCCAGCTCCTGTCCGAGAACTATCTCAAGCAAGTCTACTATTTCCCAGAAGCAGTGGATTCGTCACCAGGCTCCTTCGATCGATTGGTGACGAGCTTAAAAGTATCCTTGTCTCAGGTTCTCGTTCCATACTACCCAATAGCGGGGAGGCCCCGGATCGCCGGTCTCGACCGCCCGGTTCTCGAGTGCAACGACCAAGGCGTCGAATTTGTGGTGGCATTTGCCAATGCGAGCTTCCACGACTGGGGCGATTCCATGAAGCACTGCTCAATCGAGCATGAGCTCAACCCGGCACAGACCGAGATCACGGATCACGAGAACTTCCCACAGCTCAAAGTCCAGGCAAGTCCGGAGACTTTACGTTGACCTGTTCTGACCGTGTTGCAGT